ACGTGGTCAAGTTGTCCTGTCACCTTCGCTGACATTGAACCAACCCCCAGATGGTGAATAAGGCCATTTTTGATCACCTAGGCCAACTGAAGTCATCATAGACCACACAGCCCAGACCAGAAGAATTGTCCAGTTGACCCCCAGAAAGGCGGGAAATAGTAAATGTTTGCTGTGTTAAGCCACTGAATTTGGAAACAGTTTGTTAACTAGTAAGAGCTGATACAGCTCAGTCAGGCCTTTCCTTTGCTCAGCTGGTTACTGGCTGTGTATCTTGGGCAAATTGCTGAGTCTTGGCTTCCTCCTCAGTAAAATAGGGGATATCTATCCCTCAAAGTCATTGTGAGGACTGAATGAGACAGCACATGTCAGGATCACCCAGCGAGGTCTCAGTACTCAGCAGGTCCTCTTTCATGTCCTGGTGGTGTCAGACATGAGACTTCTCTCATTTCCCCTTGGTTCTACCTGCTGTGCCTCTTTATCCAAACTTACTCATCCTTCCAGGTTTTCGGGGGGGTGGTGGTATCAATATTTAAATGTAAAGGCAAGCATCAGAGATTAAGTCTTTACCATTCACTTAAGTGAACACCCCTACCGCTACAGTCCCAGGTCTCCTCTCCTTCCAGAACACTCCTTCTTGAAGTTAGGCATGGCCACATGACTTGCTTTGACCACCGAGTATGACGAAACTTTTAAGAACCATTGTGTGATTCTCTGTGCTTCTTTCCCTTACTGCAGAGAACTGGAAGCCTTGTGTTAAGACAGCAGCAGCATCAAATGCCCAAAATTCTTGGTCCCGGTGAGGTTTCCATGAGCTTCCCTGATGATCCTCATTAGGGACAAGAAACACTGGAAAGAAAAAAAAATCTTTGTTGTACTGGGCTCTGTTGTTTGTTATGGAAGCATAACCTAACTATTTGGGGCTGAACTGTATCCCTCAAAATATTTGTTGAAGTCCTAACCCCACTGGTACCTCAGAATGTGACCTTATTTGAAAAAAGTTTATTGCAGATGTAACTAGTTAAGATGAGGTCATACTGGAGTAGGGTGGGCCCTTAATCCAATGTGCCTGCTGTCCTTATAGGAAGATGATGTGAAGATGCTGTTACCAAATAGAACTCAGGTTTGCTCACCTTCAGGGAGCAAAGACAGTCACTTGACTGGGCTGTGGTGAAGAAAAGTACAGTGTTTATTGCAGGGTAACAAGCAAGGAGAATGGGCAGATCATGCTCAAAAGACCTGAACCCCTCAATGGCTTTCAGGGAAGGATTTTTAAAGACATTTAGGGTGAGGTTGCAGCTCATGGACTTTCTTCTGATTGGTTAATGGTGAACTAACAGGATGATGTTTGGGAATCTTAATCATCAATCTTCTGGTTCCAACCAACTTGGGGTCTTGTGCTTGTGGTCAGCATGTAGTCATCCTCCATCTGGGTGTGGGGTCTTCTGATTGTTACGTGTAGCCCTTGAGGAGGAACTAGGACTCTTTTATTGCTGAACTATTGTGTAAGCTAGCATTACTTTTCTTGCTCGACTACTTTCCCTTTGTTTCTGCATTCCTTTACCTCCCTAATTAGTAACAGTTGAGTCTGTTCTTTGGAACTCAGGGAAGGCCTAGGAGACTAAAGCTTTTTTTTTTCCCTACAAACAAGAAATGGGGGACACAGAGGGGCTTTTGTAGCTGGGAACACCCTGCAGGGTCCTGCTCGATTTCAATACAAGGGCAGAACACCCGGTGAAGGTGGAGGCAGAGATTGGAGTAATGTAGCCGAGGAACTCCAAAAGTTGATGGCCATCACCAGACACCAGAGGCAAGGAAAGATCTACCCAGAGTCTCCGAGGGAACATGGCCTCACTGACATCTTGATTTCTGGCTTCCTGAGCTATGAGAGAATCAATTTCTGTTGTTTAAAGCCACCTGGTTTGCTGTACTTTGTTATGGTGGCCCCAGGAAACTAGTGCAGGCCGACTCACCCTGGCTAATGCAGTAGTCAGTGAGGGCTCCCTCTTACAGTCATCACTGCGTCTATTAGTGAAACTTTCAGGTATATTGCTCTGTCCTCCATGTATAATATTCATTCACTCATTTTTATTATTTATTTTCTTGTTTATTTTATTTACTCTGTGCCCAGGACTTCTCTCTAGGCAATGGGGAAGCACTGTGGACAAAATGACTCCTTCTCACAGAGCTGGCTGACTCTTGGGGTAGAGACCAAACATGGGTAGGTGGATGTGCGTGGGGTCTTGCAGGTCCAGCTTTGGGGGTTTAGAGGTCCTCTACCTGGATGACTCCTCCTCCAAAAAGAAAATAGGAAAATGTAGCAAGTTCATGGGATGGAAAACCAAAGAGCTCTGCAAAGTGAGATTTGTTGGAAGGATTTATGATGTATTAAGTTAAAAAAAACAACTTCAATCAAGATTTCTATGGATGCTAAAAGCATGAATCATAAGAGAAAAGACTGATACATTGAAGAGCACCAAAGTTAATTGCTTTTATTCTTCTGAGACACAATTAAAATGAAAAGGCAAGTCATAGACTAGGAGAAAATATTTGCAAAACATACATCTGATGAATGATTTATATCCAGGGTATATAAAGAAATCTCAAAACTCAAGAATAAGACAACAAACAATCCCCCCAAAATACGGGCCAAAGCTTCGAAAAAATTCTTAATGAAAGAAATACAGTGGCAAATAAGCACATGAAAAGGTATTCAGAATGGTCACTCATGAGGGAGCTGCCTTTCCTCACTTTCTCTTGCCTTGAACATGTAAAAAATAAACAAGGGGTAGAGGGTATAGCTCAATGGTAGAGTGTGTGCCTAGCATGCTCAAGGTCCTGGGTTCAATCCCCAGTACCTCCATTAAATAAACAAACAAACCTAATCACTTGCCTCCCTCCACAAAAAAATTAAAAACAACTTCTTAAAAGATGTAAAAAATTAACAAGCAAATCTCAACAAAATAGAATTGGGAGACCAGTAGGGGGAGCTCTCATGTACTGTGATAGTAGAGCCCAACAGGAAGAAGAAAGACCCCTCTTCCCTCCTGGCAAGAACTCAGCCAATAAAAAGCCACGGACTCTTTCTTTACTAGAGCCCTCCCAACTTCCTTCCTCCCTTTATCAAAGCATGCTCCTTCCCTTGCTGTGTGGGAACGTGCATGTGGCTCGCCATCATTATAGACCCCAAGTTGCAATTCTCTGCTGATCCTGAACAAACTCATCTTTTCTGGAGAAATATCTGGCAGTCTATTTACATCAAGTCAACAGACATAAGCATGATACTTGCAGCACGGACCATTCTGCAACCTTGAGGGAGAGGCCAAAAAAACTCATCACGACATTAACCTTGACATTGCTAAGTTACTGAGTTTCTACCTTTAGACTTCTTCCTAAGGGAGAAAAATAAGCCTCTATTGTATTAGCCGCTGCATTAAATTCCCTGTTACTTGTGGCTGAAAGCATTCCTGACTGCTACAACCTCTCAAGTCCCCATAAAATCCCAGGAAGGCATCACGCTGGCTCTGATGGGGTCCCATTCCCACTGCTGGACCAACTGTGGTGGCCCTCAGGGATGGGATATGCCAGCCCAGTGGCCACCTTTACTTCATAGGCTGGGGGTGGGCAAGGATGGCTCCCCAGTGGGAAACTTTGTCCTTGGGCAAGTCATTCAACATCCCTGTGCCTCAGTTCCCTCATCTGTGCCATGAAGATGTCCAGGTTCCTGGGGTTATGGTGAGGATTAAATGTACAGTGACTGGTGCTCAGTGATGGCCAGGAATGACCATTATTAATTACCCTTATTTTACCATTCTATTGCTGTTGTCATTGTTGCTATTATGATTAATGCAGATCCTTTCTGAGGCCCCTTCCAGCTTTCGGCCTGGTTGTTGCCAGTACCTCCAGCCCTTCGCCAGCTTTCACAGATGCTGCCTGCAGTTGGGGTAGGGGACAGGGCTCATCCTCCTCTCTGCGAGGTGGACCCCTCCCCTACTCCAGTCTTGCCGCTGTCCTTGCCCAGCTCCATTCTGCAGGGACCCAAGATCCTTTCCATTCCGAGGAGAAGTCAGGACCAGGAATCATCCCTGAGGCCTAAATGACTACTCAGGCAGGTTTTTTGAGAGTCTGGAGGGAGCAGGAAGGAGCAGGGAGGAAGTGAAGTTGAGCCCAAAGACCAGCTCCTTGCTCCGGGAAGCCTGGTCTAAGTCAGGGCCCCGGGGACCTGGTTCCCCACAGTCTTCATGCTTCCCTGCCCCACCCTGGCTCCCACCCTATCTTTCTACCCTGCCCTCCCCTTCCCTGCTCCTTCTCTCCCCTGAGTCCTGCCCCAGCCCCACTGGAGAGCAGCACTTTGGGCTGGTCTCTCGATGCCCCGCATGATTAAAATGCAAAAGGCGCCTCTGTCCAAAAAAATGAGGCTGGACCCTGATCACTCCCAGCCTTCTTGGCTGAGCAGCCACCGGCTTCTGGCTGCCCTCATCCAACACTGGAAGGAGCTTATGGACGAGGGAGCAGAGGCCAGAGTGGATCACAAGCTGGGCTTTAGACTCCTGGCCCAGTGCTCAGGCCGTGTGGAATAGGGGTGTGAGTGGGGATTTGTGAGTCGGGGGGGCGGTGTGAGTGGAGGGGTGAGGTGGGCAGCTCATCCATCACCTCCTGGGCTTCAGTTTCTCTATCTGCAAGTGGGGGATGAAAATGGAAGATTTCATGCTTAGAGCCTGCCTGGCCCCCTGCAAACACTGGTAAATTCTCCAGGAGATTTCAGCCCTCAGACTCCTGCTGTCCCCTCATCTCAGCCATCTGGCCACCTCCATCGAAACAGCCCTCACCCAGGCACTTGGGGCCACAGCCCAGGGACGGGCTGCCAATGGTGTTCTCACAGCTCTAACCCAGCACCAGCAGCCCCCAGGGGCTCAGGATGCCTCCATCCATTTCGGTCGAGCGCCCTCTGTGGATTAGGCACAGCGCTGCATGCTGCTCTCTCCTTTACGACAACAATTATCGATTCAGTGAAAGAAGTTCTAGGAGGCTGTGAAGCAAAGAGTTAAAATTGTGTCCTGTCCGTCTGCGTCTGCTCGTGGCCCCCTTCCTGCCCCCACGCGCTCTGTACGCATATCGCTGTCCCGGCGGCGCCCGGTCTGGACGGAGCCCCGTCAGCGCAGGAGCCCTGCGTCAGGCTTTGCCATCACTGCGTAGTTGCCGCAGTGTGGCTGGGCCGCCGTCAGTGGGGCCAGTGCCCCTGGTGGACCTCCGGGCTGCAGCCCAGTTCTTTCTACTTGTGATGGGGCCACAGGGTAAGCTTTCATTCGTGACTCTTTATCCGCGTGGGCATCATTTCTCTAAAGCAGATTGCTGGATTCAAGGCTGACGTGCTCTTTATGTGGGGGTTACCATCAAATCCCATCTCCCCAGCAGGCGGCTCCAGACTTGCACACTCACTCCCCTAGCCCGTTCCAGTAGGTGCCTGTTGCCCCTTCTCCTCCACCCTGGCAGTCCCCAGCGTCCTGCCTCTCTTGTTTTCTTGTTCCCTTCAAGGTGACTGGAGGTCGACATCCTCTCGTGGCCATGCTGTTGATGCCAGCCGACACCAGCTGAGACCAGTGTTTGTCTGCATCTCAGGGGACACCATTACAGGCACCCACAGGAATTGGGGGCCAGTGGGGAGGAGGTTTGGGTCCCCGTAAGTAGTGTAGGGAGCAGTTTAGAGTTGGGTTCTGAAGTCAGATGGCCCATGATTTGAATCCTAGCTATGCCCCTTGCTGGCTGTGTTACTTTGGGTGAGTTATTCAACATCTCTGAGACTCAGCTAGGTCATCAGAAAGGCCAAGCTCACAGGAGCATCTAGTTCAGATGATTGTTGTGGATGAGTCAGTACATACTTGGTGCTTAAAACAGTGCTGGGCCCATTAGCTGCTGATATATTACTTGGGCACCTATAGTACAGTATGTACGAACTGGTTTATTTCATCCTTACAACTAGGGGAACATGAAGCTCTGAGAGGTAAAGGGACTTGTAGCCCCAAACTGGATACTCACCTCTTGCTGCTCTCAGGACCCTATTTCAGGTCCCAGTGGGGAGGGTAGCTGGTGTGAGGGTGGCCCGCCCCTGCTGGGAAATGGGATTTCCAGGGCTGGAGCCTAGTCCGGGGCACGAGCCTTGATGAGGAACAGATGCACAGAGTTGGGGCCCCGCCTACTCCCCGTCTGCTGCCCGGGGTGGGGGGTGGCGATAGCTTCCAGATGGGCTCTGCTCTCAGCAGTACCTTAAGTGACTCGTTCTGGGTCCCTGCGGGGCAAGACTGCAGACCTCTTCCCTGGCTCTCAGCCCCTCTGGTCCTGGTAGATACCTGACAAGCTACCTTGGTTTGGGCTAGGTGACCTCAAGAAAGTTGGTCCTGCTCAGAGCCTCAGTTTCTCCCTCTGAGAAACAAGCATTCTCCATCACTGTCCTGGTAGAGCTGTTGTGTGCCGGGAATCCTAAGGAGAAGCATTTGAGGTTTTCCCAAACTGTGGAGGGCTGTGCATCTGGGGCAAAATCTTCCAGACCAGGCACCCCTGGAGAAGGAGAGCTTTTGTGTTTGGTTTTTATTTTCTATTCATATTTAGTTTCTGAATGTATTCATATCTGGAATACAAAATTTCAAAGGTACAAAAGGAAGTGGACATAGTGAAAGATGTTTCTCTCCCACCTCGACCTCCAGACACCCAGAGACCCTCCTTCCCCAAAGCAACCCCATCACCAATTTCTTGTGAATCTGCCAGAGATATTTTTTGCACATGTAAGGAAATACAGAGGAATTTTTTTACCCAGTGACGGCAGACTTCACACACTACTCAGTACTGTTCTTCTGTTATTGAAAACACCCTTTGGAGGTCTTTCTACATGTCTCTAGGAAGATCACCTCATTCCTTTTGATGCCTGACGAGGGTGAGCTCCAAAACAGCTCACAACTCTTCAGCACAGACACTGACAAATCAGAATGGATCCCAGCAGTGCACAACCACTACAGCTGTACGGTGCCAGCCCTGTGTCTGTGTACTGTTTTCAGTGCATGGATGTGTCAATGTGGACTTAACCAGTCTTCAAGTGATGGGCACCAATGTTTTATTTTTTCAGTCAAGCTTGCAATGGCAATGAATATCCATTTTAGACATTTGTGGAAGGATATAAGTAGGATATTTTCCTAGAAGTAAAATTGCATTCTATATCCACATGTAAACAAATTTTATTTTATCCTCTACCTTGCAGCAGACACAACAATGAACTTGAAATGGGCCATAGATCTAAATGTGAAACCTAAGCCCATAAAACATCCAAACAAAAAGTAGGAGAAAAATCTTTGTGACCTGGGGTTAGGCAAAGATTTTCCAGACAAGACACAAAAAGTATGAATCAGAAAAGAAAAAAAATGATAAGTTTGACTTAATTGAAGTTAAAAACTTCTTCTCTTCTAATAGCAATTTTAGGAAAATGAAGACAAGTTATGGACTGGGAGAAAATATTTGTAAAAGTTACATCTGATAGAAGACTTATATCCAGAATATACATAAAGTGTTTGCATAACTCAATAATAAGAGAACAAATAATGCAATAAAAACTAGGCCAAAGATTTTAAAAGATACTCCACCAAAACATAGATATTGATGGCAAGTAAGCATATGAAAAGATACTGAACATTATCAGTCATCAGGGAAATGCAAATGAAAACCACAGTGAGATACTGCTATGCACCTATTAGCATCGGCATGAAGACACTGCTGATGCCAAGTGCTGGTGAGCGCCTACAGCAGCTGGAACTTGGGAAAACAATTTGGCAATTTCTTATAAAATTAAATCTGCACTTACCATATGACCCAGCAATCCCACTCCCAGATGTCTACCCAAGAGAAATTAAAATTGTGAAAAAACATTCACAAATGTTGATAGCAGCTTTTCGAATAATCACTAAAAACTGGAAACAATTGTCCTCCAGCAGGTGAACGGATAAATAATAGAATACTACTTGGCCCACAAAAAAGAATGAACTATTGATACAAGCAAAAATACAGATGAATCTCAAAGGCAAGATGTGGAGTGAAAGAAGCCAGACTCAAAAAGCAACGTACTGTATGATTTCATGTCCATGACCTTCTGGAAAAGGCAAACCATATGGAGAGAGAACAGCCGGTTAGTGTTGCTGGGGCTGTGGGGTGAGGGGGAGGAGATTAACTGAAAAGGGGCAGGAAAGAACTTTCTGGGGGTGATGGAACTGTTCTAGAACACGACTGTGGTGGTGGTTGCATGAATATCTGTTTGTCAAAACACAAAGGCAGGAAATTTGTTTTTTTATCTGAAATACTTTTGACAATAATAAATTCCAACAAGGGATGAATATTGTTCTTCATTCCCAGGGGCTCCTGGCCTCCCACTGCCTCCTCTGTCTTTGTCAGTGTCAGTGAGCAGGTTGGCCATCCCCAGATCCCTCCTGGTGCCCTTCCACCTGTCCCGGCCCATCCAGCAGTGAGGACCACCCCCACCCCCACTTTGGGCGGGCTCCTCGGTCCTCGCCACTGCTCCCCTTGCCCGTTGTTGGGTTAACCTAGCCATTACGTCCCACCACAGTCCCTCAAGATCATGAAGGAACCAGCAAATATTCATTGACTGAATGAGTGATGGATGCATTATTGCCCTTATTAGAGAGGTGGCTCAAGGTAGGGCTCCATCTTCTACTACATGGGGACCTGAGCCTCAATTGTATCACCTGTAAAATGGGGGAGAATGTAGCAAACAAGCATGTGAATAGATGCTTGTAAACCTTAGCAGTCATCAAAAAAAATGCAGGTTAAACAGTGAAGAGGCACGCCCTCTCTACCAACACCCACTGGACCGGCAAAAATTAGGAAGTAGGAATGATCAAGTGTTAGCAAAAGTGTGGGAGATGGGAATTCTGTGCTCTGCTGGCGTTTGAACTGGTGCAGCACCTAGGGATAGCAAGCAGGAGTGACCCAGCCACCCTCCTCCTGTGTGTTAAGCCCAGAGAGATTCTCCCACTGGCCCAGGAGGGGACCCTAGGAGGCGATGGGCCACTCTCCTGTGATGAGGTGTCAGGAAGGGAACAGTCAAGGAGAACCCATGTCTAATGCCAGGGTGAGTGAGCCGCAGGGGAGCAGGGGCCACGTGACCAGGTGAATGGGGGGGAAAAAGAGATAGGAAATCTGTAGCATGAGGCCATTTCTGTAAATAAAAAAACACACAAGCCCACAAAACATCCCAGCTTGGTTCACAAGGATCACTGTAACCCAGGACACAGACTAGACTCCTGAGGGTGACTGCCTGGGTGGGAGGGGAAGAGGAAGGGCGGGAGTATCAAGAAGGAAACTAAATTAAATAAAGCAAGAGTGGGGTTTGCAGAAACATAATGATTAACTCAAATTTCTTGGCACACACATTGTAAAAAAAAAAGAAAAGAAAGAAAAAGAAGATAAAAATAGGCATGATGGAAGGGCAGCCATAGCATCGCCTTCCTCTGACAGGGTACTCAGCGCGGTGCTAACACACCGTCAGCTTTGTAGATTGAGCCCAAGTTACCTCCAGACACCCGCCATGGATGTGGGGCCTTGCACCTCTGGCTCCCTGGGCAGTGCTGCCCTCTTGTGGCCAAGACAGTTATAGGACTCAGGCCCCTCCCAGGGTATCCGACAAAGGGTGTGGAAGGAGGGGAGGAGAATACAGTCACAAGAGGAAGGAGACTCCCGATTGGGGAAGAGGTAGATCAAGGAAGGCTTCCTGGAGGAGGGGCGTGTATGCTGAAGGATAGATAGTATTGGCCAGGGCTTTACACACCTGATATTGTTTCATTCTCCACCACCCTGGAAATCAGTGTTACTGCTTTTGGCTTTATTTGCAGCTGCGGAAAGGGAGACTCAGGGGGCAAAGTCACACACCCAAGGTCATGCAGCTTGTTGGGCGCAGAGCTGGGATGTGCACCCGCGTCTGCGTGACTTGCTGGTATGTTCTATCATTCCCACTTCAGAGTGGATCAGGGAACCCGGTGAGCCCAGGCACAATTTACCCCTGAATCTTGGTGTCTGAACGAAGCCTCAGCAGAATTTCACACCAAGTTTGCACAAGGAGTGGAAACAGAACCTGCAGGGACAGAGAGAAACTTGTCTTGGGATGGCGTGCGGGGACTCACTTCAAAAGCTGGCCCCTCGCTCTTTGGCAGGTGGCTGGGGCGCCCACACTTGGAGGTAAAAGATGGGTCCTCCCTCCCTGAGCTCAAGGACATGTCTCCAAGACACTCTCTGAAAAACGCTTTATTTTGGAATTTATGTCCAAAGCCATTTGAATCTTTATCAAGGGTATTTAAAGACCTGTTTGAAAAATGTCTCCAAAGTATTTCCTTTTAATTTTTGGATTTGGTCATGTATCCCTGATTTGGTCATGTATATATATTGTCTGAAAAGTCCAAAGGAACAAAAGAAAAAGCAAGTCTCCCATCCATGCGCTTGAACCCCATCCCCCATGCACTTGCACACCGTGGTGCTGCTGGCCGTTCCCACGTAACAGTGCATCTTGGGATTGCTCCACATCAGTTCGCCACCCGCTTCCTGAGATTTCTCAGCTCCGTGGAGGTCCCTCTGAGCTATGGGAGTACAGCATATACAGGGAAGAGCCGTGTACCCTGTACGCTTGTCACTTTGCATGTGAGCCAGGCTAATGAGAGGATAAATCCCTAGAAATGTGTTGCTAGGTTAGGGGACAGGTGCACTGTAGCTTTGATAGATGTCGTCAGCTTGCCTCCTGTAGAGGCTGGGCCGTGTCCTCCCCCGAGGAAGGTGGGGGCAGCACCAGAGGCCCAGCACCACAGCCTGGCCAAGGCCCTGTATTTTGGAATTCTGGCTCTTTGCTAATCAGATAGGTGAAAAATAGTAGCTCTGTGTGATTTTGTTGTCATTTAATGAGACTCAGGTTGACCACCTTTTTCAGTGTGTGTAAGACCTTTTTGGAATTCCTATTGTGGGTGAATGTTTTTGCTGTGAGGGAGCAACGCTGAGTCAGGTGTGCCTTCATGGGTGTATATACCCGAAGTGCCTGCCTGGTAGAGGGCAAAATTTTGAATTCCCATTCAACGACTTATTTTCTGAGCCTCAGATTCCTTGTCTGTAAAAACAGGAATAACAAATCTACTTCAGAGGGCTCTAGGGAGGATGAAGTTTTTAATGTTAAGTGTCTAGCCCAGTTCCTGGCTCAGACTTATTGTGTAAGAAATATTTGTTGAATGAATACATGAAATATATGTAATTTAAAACACTTTTATTGAGCACTTACTGTGTATACAATCCTTGCTCATATATTAACTTATTTAAACCTCACAGTAACAACAGGAGGGATCTCTTATTTTCCCTTTTTACAGATGGGGAAACTGAGGCACAGAGGGAGGTACAGGATCTTGCCTAAGGGCGCATAGCTGGTCAAAGGTAGAAATGAGATTTGGGGCCTTGCTGTCTGCCCCTCCACCCTAGGAAAGGTGCACTGACCTCTGTTTTTGTTTATTGCTATGAAAACCTGCCCAACCTTATTTTATTATTTTATTATTGAGTTCTGAGGATCAGGAGTCCAGGCAGGGCAGAATGGGGCCGGCTTAACTCTACTGTGGCCTTGGCCAGGAAGACTCTGCAGCTGGGACTGGAAAGGCCAGGACTGGAGAACTCACTCCAGAGATGGCTTCTTTAGTGGCAGGTCTGGCTGGATAATCTATTTTGCCTCATGGGTGGCAGGTTGAATGGAAAAGCACTTCTGTGGGTGAGGCTGGGAGTCATGGAGGGCAGGACGGGAAGCCAACAGACCCAGGGCTGCATCCTCGTGTTCAGGGTCTGACAGCCTGGGAGGCTTAGAAATTCTGGGCTTGGTACCCTCATGAGCAGCTTCCTCTCCAGGCCTCTCTGCACCTGCTGTTTCCTTGAGCTGGGACCCTCCCCACCCATCTCATTAGCACCTCCTCATTCATCACTTCCCAGCCTGGCTCTTTGGCCCTGGGGGTGGAGCTCCTTGGTCCCCATAGGCTGTAGGTGGATTTGCTGTCCCTCACCCTAAATCCTGTCCACTGTGTGTGGGAGGGGTCCTCATCACACCCTTGTCTGTACTTGTCCACAAGACTGGCTCCCTTGTCACCAGCAGCCAGCACAGTCCCAGGCACACAGCAGGCATATTTAGTGAATGGATGAATGAAGAGCCGAAATCAATGAATTTTGAATGACTTTAACTTGAGCTTCAGTCTGCTCTTCTACAAGTCGGCGGCTTGCAGGGTTGCTGTGAAGGTGGCAGGAGAGAAAGGATGTGAAAATGGACCCAGATAGGAGGCAGTCAGAAAAATGGGGGTCATTACCATCTCTACTGAGGAGCAAAGAAAATGAGATATTGCCCCTAAAGCACTTAGCAGTGTGTGGCACATAGTAGGTGCTCAGTACTGGTAAGACAGTCCTATTGTTAGTTATCATTATCATAATTACTATTATCTTGTTATAATAAGAATGCAAATTTCCTGCATCAGAAGGGCCACACACGATGGTTTTCATCTAAGTGGAACTGGAGACACGTAGCACGCTCCAGGAGTTGGGGGTGAGGGCCCCGCACATTTTCACAGGAGGACCAGAACTGCCACCGTTACGGAGACGGGTTGTGGGATGTTGGCCTGGGGTCCTCCTTTGAGTCGATTTCCCCTCTGAGCAAAAAAGAGCCTGGGCCCTAGACTTCTGAGGTATGACCTTTGTGCTGCTGTGAATGTCTCTCAGCCAAAGCCACCGTCTCAAGTGTTGTTCCTCAGATACAAGCCTGTTCCTGGTTGGGTAGCGCCCTCTAGTGACAGAATGTGGGTATGACAGGCATTGTCGTACAAGGTCAGGCAGGAGCAGAGTGAGCCAGGCCCACTGAGAGTTCTCCTGGGGAGAGGGCCTTAGGGGGCCTAGCTGGAGTAGGGTGCTGGAGGGGTCAGGCAGGAGCTCCTAAACTTGGGCTAAGCGGTTATTCTCTCCCACTGGAACAGCATCCCAGTGGAACCTCCCCCTGTGCTCTGCTTTTGCGGGGTGACCCTGGCCAGTTTCTGAGCTTCTCTCTGAGCTTAATCTGTAAGATCTGGTTACCTGGGAGTGTCGTCTTCTTCCCATTAAGGGGCCTAAATCCCCAGGGGAATGTGGGAGAGGCTGGGTTGGTAGAGATTAGGAGCTGAGAACAGAGAAATGTCGGAGATCCAAAGGTTATAGGCAGGGCTTAGGCCCTGAAGAAATTTCCTAATTTGAAAAAATTTTAAAAACAAAACAAAACAAAACCTTGTCCACAGCCCCCAGTTGGGAACAGAGGACCAGACCCCTTAGGGAAAGAACACGACCAGGGGATTGCAAGACTAGAACTTTCCACTCCTATCTTGGTCTCTTAGAATCATGGAATTTGGAACATTCAGCATCCTAGAATTTGAATCCTATCAGAAAACCCTGTATAGAATACAAACTCTGTAGATTCAGATTGTTGAGCCTTGAGGTCAGAATCAGATCTGCAGCCCCCAGAAATTTAGACCCCAGTGCTCTGGGACTGGTCATTGGAGAGCCACCTTCTCCTTGCATCTCATCTTGGAATGAATGTTTGCTCTCATTGTCTACTCCTAAATTTGTTAACAGTTAGTAAGTCTGGGTGGGGCCCTGAAATCTGAATTTTTAAGAAGCACCCAGAGGATGCTGTTGGGCCATCCAGGTTTTGGGCAATGGATTTAATTCAGTCAGGCCACCTCTTCATCCATCAAATGGGGGAATGGAGGTCCAGAAAGAGGAAATGGTTTGGCCTTGACCCCACAGACTGCTGAGGATGGGCTGGGACTTGAACCTGTGCCTCCCAGTGCTGAGACCCCTCTCACCAGCAGCCCAGGGTGTTTAGATGGCTCCGTGGGATTGTCACACCTCCTAGATGTCCCTGGCCACTCAGACATGTCATACAGAGCACAGGAGGGTTCCTGGGGTTCACTTCTGGGATCTCAAGAGGCACAGGGGTGGGGGGATCACAACGTTGCTCTCTTCTGCCTCCAGGCAAGCTTCCTTCTTTCAAGGGGCCTGGAGGGTCTGAGGTCCCAAGTCTCACCCTCACCTCTTCCCTGCCCTCACTGCCCAGCCCCTGCCACACGCTAGTCCTCTGGGCCCCAGGCATTCCAGCAAAAACCACTCCATGTGGTTTAGATTCGGCTACTTCAAACTCATCAGCCTCGTGGTTTTGCAACACCCGCCTGATGCCCAAGAAGCATTTGTGAGTTTCTTTTTTCTTTTCTCTTTATTAAAAAAGGGGGGGGGGCTTGAAACAATAGAGCATGTCAGAGGCACAAACTTGCAGAAGGGAAGCTGATAGCCTGGCCTGGCCTGGCGAGAGGCGCTAGCTGTCCTCTGGGAGGTGAGGGCGGGTGAGAGTGAGGTGGGCCTTGGAGGGTAGGCCCCCCGAGATCCTCTTGGGAAGCAGTGCTGGGGGATCCTCATGTTCCAGGCAGAGGGAGGCCAGAGAGTGGGTGCTGTCTTGGGTGAGGACATGCTATTTCATCAACTTTAGCCTGTCCTCCAGCCTGGTGACACCCTCTTCCGCGGGCCACCCTGGACCCCTGGGGTCTCAGACTCTTCCTGCTCCTGGCTGTGGCTGCAAGGGATGCTAATGCAAATCAGGAACATTGCTTCCTGGGGAGTCAGGAGAGCAAAGGAAGCAGGGGTACCTTGATGATGGAGTGACAGGCAGGGAGAGACTGCTCTTCCTGCTGGGGGGGAGGGCGGGTGTCCCGGTGAATCCACGTTCTCAGGGGTCAGTGCTGGTGTGGGTAAGTGGGGGGACTCCTCCCCTGCTCCTGACCCGACCCCTTCCTTTCTCACCTCCCCAAAGGCCCCCAAAATCTCCTCTTAGATATGGGTGTGCTGAGCAGTGCCACCCAAAGGCAGAAAGCACAGCACTCGGGTTCCTGCTGTGACCTTAGGCAAGTCCCTTCTCAGGCCTGTTTTCCCAGAGGGGCCTGGCTGGCGGAATGGAGTGGCTTAGATCATCTCAAAACTCTTCCAGCTTCCATGGCCTCTTCTAGGATGAGCTCCCAATTCCCCCAGGGATGACAGCCCTACCTGGTACAGTGCTTGGGTCCCCACAGGACATGGGTGTACCATGGGCTCAGGAAGCAGGGGTCAGGAGCTGTGAGAGGGTGGGTGCTGAGGGGGCAGCAGGCAGCTTCCGGGAGGGTGGACTCTGCGCCACAGGCAGGCATGGGGCTGGCTGTCCAGCCAGAGGCCCCATGACGGCTCCTCCACACCAGCTGGGGAAAAGTCTCTGGGCATCAGGAGGCCCTTAGAGCCTCTTTCAGGGGGTTCCTAGGGGACCTG